AATGATAATGCTATACCAATCATGAATTTTTAAATGAAAAGCTGCAACTACAGTATCACTGAGTTCTGCTACCAAATGTTGTGTCTAGTAGGAGGGAGAAGATGGACTCACAGTCTGGAACATACATTGTGAGCTAAATTTTTTTAAGAGGTATGCCTGAGCATACATCATCTCTATTAGGAAAACAGACCCCTGATTCTTCCAAATCAAACAGATTCACATATAAACTGCTGAATATGAATAATCCATATCTGGTAATCTCTTAAATTGTTTTCACAGTTACCATGACAAATGATGTAAATGGTTTCTCCAGGAGGATAAATGCACAGATATACTGCTCTGTGGATTCATTGAAATCAGTGAGATGCTATTTAAAGTACTCTGCTTGACATGTTTGTGAACAGTGAAATAAACAGCCTGTAAAAGGCTTTATTTATTCTTGCCAAATTACGTGCAAGGTACTAGGTTTTTATTCCTGTTTAAACCAAAATTTCCATGAAGTGCAGTTGTTTTCAGATTCATAAGGTTCGAAATTATATTCTGCCACTCATTCTAATGCTTTTGAAAAATCTTTCCTTAGGCTCCAAATTCTAAAACATTTGCTTAAAATAATATTCTGTCACAACCTAAGAAAAATGGCATATGCACACTTTTCCACCGAAGAAAATTGCAAATAAAAGCAGTTGATTTCCAGCACCAACTACTTTATTGACAAGCTAAAAATACAAACTTCTTTATTGCACTCATATCAGATAAGGCTAAATCCATTACTCCAGCAATGAAATGTTAAGTGCGTAAGTACCAGAAGATATAGGCAGTGGAGATGTTATCATATCATTGGGACTCCCATGCCATTGCATGTCTCAGCAGCCTGCTTCCTGGGAAATGTCAGAGTGCTTCTGTAGACACAGCTGCCATCAGCCTGATAATGAATTACTTGGGGGACAAGTCTTCTCTCTTTGCAGGTCTCAGTTTGATGTCCATTATACAGATAGGTCTCTCTGGGGGGAAAAAAATATTTTCTTCTGTTTAGGTGGAATTTCTTGCATTTTTGTTTGTGTCCATTGCCACGTCCTCATTGCTGCACGTCCTTTCACTGGCCACCAGCAAGAAGAGTCTGGCTCCATCTTTTCCACTTACCTCCCCACTCAAGTATTTATACAAATTGACAAGATTCCCTAGAGCCTTCCCTTCTTCAGGCTGAACAGCTGTCTTGGCCCTGGTGACTGGTGCCACTGCAGGGGTTAAACCAGCAACATCCAGCTGAGTCCTCATCAAGGCTGAGTCCCTTACTGCCAGACCAGTGCACAGCTGGGGCATCCAAGATGGTTTGTTAACTTTTTAAGCTGCAGTGCCTCTAACTCCACACATTAATAGTTTCAGGCTCTTATTGAATAGACGACAGTGTAGGGCAGAGAGAAGCACAGTTGGTTTGGGTATGTGTGCTTTAGGTTTAACAACACAGAGCATGATCTCTAAATGATGATTCCTGCCATTCAGTTCATCATACATCTCCTTGAGCATCAAGCAATATAATATAAAATAAACAAGACTTCAAATTGCACTAAGGTCTATGTTTAAACAAGCATTTCAAGCTTACATGCACTTAGCTATGAAACACAAGCTTGCAGGCCTTTAAAACTGAACTTTTTGAGTTCATTTTAACATTAAAAACAATGTGTTGTTGCTTGGAGCAAGTTAGAATATATTTGTGTGCATTATTGACCTGAGAGGTAGTAACAGGCTAGGAAATTGAAAAGAAAAAAAAAAACACAATCATAAAATTGTACCTTGTTGTGTAGTAACAGTGAATCAAGTTTTACTTGATATATTTTTGTTACACTTTGTCAAAACTTTTAACACCTCAATTGCTATTTTACTTTAAACACTTCCCAGCTCTTTATTCAAATAATGTTTTAGTTAAAATTCATTGAGCTGAGGTCATTGCTTATTCACAGCAGCAGCTTGAATGGCTTGCGAGCGCAGCTGCAGATGTTTGCCCCACTAACCAGCCCCAGCAAACTCATCTCGCTTTTGTGGTAAGGCAGCAAGCTGCAGGGCGCCTGGAAGCAGTGCTGGCACGAACACAGTCAGGCACCATCTAGAAGCAAAACATCCAGAACAGCACTGCAAAGGCTGACATCCTGTGAAAAATTAACAAATGAACCAGGGAGAAATCAGCCTACCAAGGAGCTTTCCTTTCTTTCTTTTCTGTGGATTAGGATATGAACCAAAAAATGAAGCAAGGCTGTATTACTTGCCCTCATAAAATTTCATTTAAAGCACACTGCTGTGATTCTACTTTAGAGAAGAACAGTAGTTTCCCATCAGAAAGGGGATGTGAAACTTCCACAGCTGGAAATCAGTGCTTCCAGTGGACACAAGAATGCATGACCTGCCAGTCAGAGAGCTCTACCTCTTGTTCAGCATTTTAGTCCTGACAGTAGATGTGACCAGGTTCAGAGGAGTAAATTTTGCATTGGTCATGTATAAGATTATCTGTCATTAGAAAAATGGTCTCTCTGATAGCTAGTAGTGAAAGCTTAGTTTATGCCCTGTTTATTCCCCAACTTTCATGTAGTTTTTGTTGATTTTTTTTTCAGGAGTAACAAAAAAATCAACCCCAAATACCGCTAGTTGATCCCAATAAATTTCTCCTGTAAATGGCTGAATCTTTATGTAAACCTACTATTAATTCAGATTTTATACAACATTTAGGTTATGCTTGGGGAGAAAATGAATATTTGTGTTTAATTAGTTTTAATCAATGGTTCTAATAGAGGCAGGTGACTAAGCATTTTTGATTTGCTGTGCTAGCCTGGTAGAATATAACACACACGTTAGTACGCTCTTAATGCTGCTCTAAATGGAATAGCCTACATGAAGATCACGTTAGTTATTTCCCCCAGAAGAAAAATATTGTTGTAAAACCAGCAATTTCTTTGTTTTAATTGTATTTATATAAATAGAAACGTTCTTATTCTATTCATGTAAATGAAAAAAAAAAAAGGAAGTAACTTATTTTCCTAAGTTTTGCAAGTCCTTAGCCTTAAAAATGTTTTAGGGATTTATTTTCATCCTTCTTGCTTACTGCCATCTTTTTTGGATGCTATTCTCTCATATAAAGTAGATGACTTTTAACTACCTTGAAATCCTCATTGCTAAGCACCACAGTGTGTGTGTTTTGGCTATCTTAAGTTTTGGATGCAATCTGGGTACCTATTTCACTATCCCATTCTGGTGTTTTCCTTACCATTAGGGCTCTGCATGTCTTCTCTTTACTGTCACATAAGCCCTGTGTCCCTTTCACTGTTTCCCAGCATCCACTTCTTTTTCAGTTACTGTGCCTTTCTCTAGGTCTCCTTAGATATTTACTTTGCCCTGAATTATTTCTCTCATTCCTCTGCCTAGCTTCTTTTTCTTCCTACTTGCCTCTTGGCATATATGCTTTTTTACTGTATTGAAAAATCAGAGAAGTGAGTTTTTAATAGTGACAGAGAAAACATACTTACCTAGGATATGTTATGGTGGGTGGTTTTTTTTTCAGAAACTCATTAAATTTGTTAGTACTTTCTAAAATATGGCTTCCAAAAGAGTAAATTATTAAAATTGGTTTTCATGTTGTCATGAATAAATGATGTAAAAAAGTTGAAAGCTACACTTAATAAGACAGATGCCTGATGTGGTGAATACAATGTCCCACTGAAGATGTCCCGTCGCACTGCTGTGTCCCCACCCACCTTGCTTCTGCAGTTGCATTCTATTGGTACCTCATCACTTTCAAATGCTTCTTTTTAAGACATACTACAAACTCAAAATATGGTGAATTTTTAGCAGATACAAGAACAGGTGAAAAGCAGAAAGGGTAGGGCACAGCAGGGGCCAGTATATGATTTATTTTTTAATTTTTATTTTTATAAAGCAGATTTATGACACCATTTTCACCAAAATATGTGAGAATTTGACTGCTGATGTTTAACACATTGCCAAAAGTCCTGTCTTTCACTAGCTGTGGTGCCTATAAAGCATCGTATTAGGCACTTAATTTCTGTGCTCTGTTTTGCCCAAAATGTTAGTGACATTTCAGTTCAACCTTATCTCCCTTTTATAGAATCATAGGTTTGGTTTGGAAGGGATCTTAAAGATTATCTAGTTCCAACCCTACTGCCATGGGCAGGGACACCAGAGCCTTCTCTTCTCCAGACTGAACAACCCTAACTCTCTCAACCTGTCTTCACAGGAGAGATGCTCCAGCCCTCTGATCATTGTTTTTTTTGGCAGAGTATTGAGACATAAGAGAAATATTAACCCAGTTTTAAGTTATGAAGGAGATATAAATAGTAAGATATTTTACTAGATTACTGTTGCCAAATTAGAATTTGGAATTAGAAGTTGCTTTCTGGAAAAAAATATGAACCTCTTGAACTTCAGAAAATCAAAGAACAGCTATCTCTTACATAAAATGCAGTGAGAATATTTTCTAAACTCAAAACCCTTACTAAGTAGTCATGAATCTTCTTGCTACTTTTGATTAGTTTTGCTTTGCCCTCATCATAGTAATTTGTGTGATGCACAATAAGTTGTTCTGTTTGGTAAATTGGTAGCCTTACATTTGTTTGGTTTTAGTGAGTCACAAGTTTGGCTCTCTGGAAGAGACAAAAAGCAGTAATAAGCAGAGTTGAAAAACAGGTGAAGGCTGTATTTATTTATCAATCCATTGTTGATATCCACCAAAAATGAATTATGAGAGCATGTACAAGCAGTGCCATATGCATGGAGGTTATTTCTTGCTCCCTCACAGGAAAAAATACCTTCACTGTGGTTTTGCTAGATTTCAGGATGGGGACTTAATTTGGGAGTTCCTCATGTACTCACATTTTCTTGACTATAGTCTGAATTTCTAAAAAAACCCCAATAGAGTTATTAGTTGTAGCTTAAGTATAGTAGCAAAATTAGATCTCATGATTTGCTTTGTTTTGATACATTGTCTCTCCTTTCAGAATTCCTGTGCCCACACATCTCTCAACAGCATTCCCTGTGGTTTCTTCTGATGTGCCTCAGTTGCCTGAACCTGTTGTGTCCTCTCAGATTTCCTCTGAATTGCCATCTGTATGCCAGGAAGGACTGTGCCATAATGGAGGGACTTGTCATCCTCTCTCTCTGCCTACTGGGGCCACCTCGTTTCGGTGTGACTGCCCACTACACTTCACTGGTCGATTTTGTGAAAAAGGTAGTTGTGATTAATTTTTTCTCAATTAGTTGTGAAATGCAAGTTGTATGCTTCTTTGGAGGTGGAAAAGGGGAAGAGGTAATGATAATCAGGTTTCTCTGCTTTTCATCCCGGTAACTGTTGGTAACTGAGGAGAAGATTCATTGAGGTAATTCTAATAGTACTTATTTACGATGTAAGATATGTCAGGCGCACTTCTAAGAGTTGCAGACTTAAGAAAAAAATAATGTATTATTGGTGCAAATTGTTGTGCACAGTTTTAATGCAAGTTTTTCAATGTAGTATTTCTGGAACAGAAGAAAGTTAACTTACAAAAACATGGAGAAGATTTCCTCAAAAGATTATATGTTTTCCATTTCTATGGATTGAGTTTTATTCATCACTGTGCCTGGTCCTTTGTTGAAAAAGACTTTTTTTACTCTATAGCTCATTTATACTTCTATTCTACTACTGCTGCTCATAAAGCACAGAGCAGTCAAATGAACATATTTTAATTACAATTTGAATAAAAAGTAATTCTTTGAACAATTTTGGTTTCTTTGTAAAAAGTCAAGGCTATAAGGCAAACTGATCAATATTTCTGTTTTGTAATTGTAGTTGCTTTGCATTACTGCTTCTCAGAATGTTCTTTTTAGAACAAATTCTATAGCTGGCTTCAAAACCTGCTTTAGCTTTTATGGTACCATGTGTTATAAATTGCAGTAGATAATTCTCATAGAATTAAATTCCTAGTGTCCAGGAAATTAACAAAAAAATTGTCTACATTATGATTATATAACTGTATCATCCTCCTAATGAACTTCCCGTGGTATGAAGTAAAAGCAACTAGAGTTAAAAATGCCCTTGCCAGATTGCCAGTATATCTGAGCTAACATCACCTTGTATTACTGTCTAAAAATAGGTCATTGCACTCACTATATGTGAAAGCAATCACTGACTGTCAGCTCTAAAAAAAAAATTTGTCATGTGTTGCTTATATATCAGAGAATATTTTACCATTCAGCCTTTCCCAAGTTTAAAACAAATTTAATCATATATTTTTTAATTGTCAGTGTTACATTGAATTCTGTATCTTCTACATATTTGGTCTCTGGGAATACTCTTTGCACTTGCTTTCAATACACTGCAGCTGTGGAAACTGCAACATAAAATAACAGAACCAAAAAAAGTGTGTTTCCATCAAACATAACAGATTTAGTTACCATTCAGTGTGTGATTTGATGAAGTATTTTCAAAATTTCAATAAAGTGTTCTATTTATTTACATACATTTTATGTGCCAGAATTCTCTTCTGTGTTCCAAAGAATGCACTTGGCACCCTTTGTATCAGCATCATCTGTGGTATTTTGGATGTGAGCAGGTTTTTGCTTTTTCCAAGGGTTATGCCAGAAGTAAGCAATATTAAATTTAAACAGGAGTTTGATAGACATCCTGTGGTAATAGGCCATATCAATGTGTGTGCACAACCACTCTGTCGGGTGACACTTTGTCCAGACTCCACCGGTTCCTTCCACCAATGTCTGATTACTGCTTTCTTCTGATTTCTAGTTGATCTGTCAATCTCCAGGAGTCTTCTATAGTTTGGCGTTTTTAATGAAAATTTACATAACCTGTGTTTGAATCATTGTCTGGGCTGGGTACTTACTCCCGTGTGCCACAGACTTTGGAGGAAGTAACTCCTCGTTCATTGACTGAAATAGCTACTTTTGAGTTGTTTATTCAAAAATAGGATTTTAAGCCATTTTCTCTTTTGAAGATTAACCAGTGCAGCCCTGCTGAGTTCATACAATGGGATGAGTTGACTTCCAACTACATTTCCAAGTAAATTTTTCAAATTTATCTTACCTGTGTAAATGAAGGGGTCTCTTCTCTTTCTTTCTGTGATCTTGTTTCAAAAATCATATGTGAAAATATGACAGAATTACGAGTACCTGAAGAGCAAATTAAAAGCATGGGTCTATTACACTAAGTCGCAGTTGTAGCCAAATCTCTGAAGTTTAGGACTTGAGCACCTTACATTAGATACATCTATAATCATTCCATTCAACAAAATCAGAATACAAGCTTTAAAGAAACCCTGAAACAAGTAGCTCCTGTGGAGAATATAACCTCATCTGTATAATTATACCATCCTTTTAATAGTTGAACGTCCAGTTTTCATGCGATATCTATTCTTTTTTCCTAAGAGTGGAAGAGATGTTATTTGCTTTCCTGAAGCTTTTAGCCATGCCTGATGTTGAGATATTAACAACAATTAATATTTCTGTATAGGATGTCTTGTAATAGTTCTAGCACTGGAAGAATAACATTTCTCTTTCATTTTGTGTGGAGAAGACAAATCAAGGAGTTCCTCTTTTCACAAAGCTCTGCTTTTACCCTCTGTATTCCTTCAACACAAGGAACAGCCTCATCCTTTTTGCTAGTGCTATTGTGACATGCTCATTGGCAGCTCACTGGGACAGTTACATCCCAGAGTGTGCGCTGTCACATCATATGTTTATGTAGATCAGGATACGACTTAATGTATCCTGTATTTAGTAGTTGAAAAGTAACTGCAGCATACTGTGATTTTATTTAATCCTAAAATTTCAATGAGAGTGACAATTTACTGTAACAAAAGCAGAAATTGCCCAACTGAACTATCACTATAAGCCTTTGATATTCAGAGACAAGTTCTTCAAGAAACTTGGAAAGATCTCATATTTAGAGGAGATAAGGGCATCTGTAGTAATTTTATAATTATTTACCATAGACCTTGCAATGGAGAAAGTAAACTATCATGTAAGCAATCCAGAAACTGTGTTCCAGTCAAGGAAATTGTCTCTCAACTCCTTAAAGTTAGCTATGATCTGTTGTAATTTTGCTGTAATGTATACCTGTACATTTCAGTAGTATATTCTCGTTATTCATCTTTATGATCTGCCTTGCACCTACCATTAACTAAATTTCAGCAAGAAAATATGTCATACACTTAACTGGCATATTAACAGTCAGCATGGCATACCACATACAAACCCTACGTGGATATCTTGGCTTCACTAGAATGTGTGATTTGCTTGTTTCGTTTTTAGGGTGAAATACAGCACTTAGTTTCTTAGTAGCAATTGTATGTTTCTAACAGTGTATAAGACCATCTTCTAGAGTGAAAACAAGTGAATGTCATTATCTCAAGTGTTTTAACTTGATAGTGTGTTATAAATGCAATACTGCATTTTTCCTTTTTCTATTCAATTGTTCCTTGACTAATAAACTCCAGCAGGTTGTTCTGCCCTTACAAGAAATATGTTCAAATCACAGTTGTCATTATGGATATACTAGGGCCAAGCCAATTTATTTAAATACACAGTGTACTTACTCTAAACAATCAGATACCCCTGAAATATCTCTAAATGACAATTTTGAAGAATGGAAGTCTATCTCCATTTTTCTAAGGAAATAGAAAAGTATGCATATAAATCAGTGCATTTGCAAAGTTCAAACTGCAGCTATTAGTTCATTTTAAAAAAAGTGAAAGTTTATGGGTGCATAAATAAAGGAAAAAAAGAAAGGTTTATTCCCTACTTCCTATCAACAAGGGATGTCTGGCCACTTCCCAGAAAACTGGGTTTCAGCACACTTAGCAGTTTCTTCAGAAAGGAAGCGTTGTAAATAACAAATATCCCCTGCTTCCTCCTCCTTTCCTTAGCTTTTATATCTGAGCTGACATCCTATAGTATGGAATATCCCTTCAGTTAATGTGGGTCAGCTGGTCTAGTTGTGTCCCCTCCCAGGATCTTGCCTACCCCCAGCCTCTGGATGGGGTGGAAGGAATGCTGAGAGACAGTGCTGATGCTGTGCCAGCCCTGCTCAGTAGAAGCCTGAAAACACTGGTGTGTTATCAACAACATTTTTTTTTTGTTTGATTCATTTTTACTAATAATTACCAAAGTTACTTGGAATTTAGAAGTTAGTACAAGGTTTATTTTAAAATCTCTCTATTTAAATGCAGCATAGAAAACTTGCTTCTCATATAAAATTACTCTTCATTACTCAGTAGCGACTGCTGGGTCGTGCAATAGCAAAGAAGTAGTTTGTAGATAAGGAATACAATCAAGGGTAGATAGTATACTCTGTGCTACCCTTTTCTCTTTTTCCTTTCTGTGTAAATAAACTTCTTCACTTTAACATGAAATGTATCACTCTTTCTTTATTAGCTAAGCTATTTTATCTGCTTCATTGTGAAATTCCTACAAGTGGAAAAAATGCAATGCTTCTGCTTTAGCTTGAAAGCAGATGGTTGTCTATTACTGTAAAGTTCATAACGATAGATTTGGAATATCACTGTCTTGAATGTGCAAGACATGTCCTTGACTGTTAATTATGTCCCTGACTGTTAATTATAACATTAACATTTTTAAAGTCTCCAAAATTTTTAGTATTCTGTAAAAGTTTTATAAATTGTTCAATAAAAAGAGTATTTAAATGTCATGTGGTAAAAACAGGAAATCTGTTTAATTTGATATGTTGCCTGTGTATATTCTGTACATTACTTAAAGGTCAACTCCTTTGAAAAAGCTGTAAAAGCAGCAGTAAAATGGAAGGCTGTTATGGGCATTTATGTTGGAACAGTCACACCTAGAGGCTTTGCTACGTTTGTTCCTTGGGACACATCTGTTGAATTCCTGATTTGTTGAGTAATACTTGATAATATCACCCTGAATATTAGATGTTTCTTTTACAGTAGCTTTTCTAGACGTTGTTCCTAACTTAACATTTCTAACTTTTGTCATTGACTAGTATCATTCATCTCAGACAGCTCTGGGGGCGGTTGTCTTTATGTTTGATATTATATTTGGTTTTGAAGAGAAATGCAGTTGGTCCAATTCCTATGATTTCAGACATATTTAGAACAATCTCACATCTCCAGTAGATGTGTGATTTAAAACAAGTCTGTAACATTTTCGACGAAAAAGAAAAGTGAGCAAATGGGAATGATACAGAGAATTGTGGGTGAGAAAGGA